AAATTTCAGCTATCTTCAATATTTTTTTAGTTATAGCTAAAAAAGGAGACTCCCTTTTTTCTCTTCGTTTTTTGTTTATAACAATTGCTATTTTTAATTGCGGATAAATTAAAAAATACTTCTTTCTCAGAATTTAATTCCGAATCCAATGTACTAACAACCATATTTTTAGGATTACAATAACTATTTTTCGCAGAAAACTCACTTCTCGACTAGACTAGTGGTTTCCTTCTTATCGGTAAGTAGCTACTGATTTGTAGATTGAAAAAGAAATCTACCTGAGCCAGACCAATTTTTAAGCTGTAAATTTATTTTGAAACTACCAAGGCTACAACATAAATAACGATTTTATGTGGGACACCCTGTACGTAAAATTTAATCTTATTCTAATAAAGAAACATTCGTACATATTATTGGTTTTTTATGCGTTATATTTTCGTACTACTTAAGCTTTACAAAATCTTATTACTTAGGTACTTTTAAAAAATTACCCATATTTATAAATAAAAGATAATATCAGACCATTATAAGCCCCGTATTCTTTAAATAGTGTTTTCCGCAAAAACAAATAATTTCAAACATTTAATAACTGAATATTCTAAAGCTTATCAAATAATAGGAATGTTATGTCATGCCACCTGAGTATTTTCAAAGACGCCGCAGTAAAACGAATAAACAGGTGCAAAAAACGATCAAATCAATAAGGTTTTAGGTACTGAAATCTACGAAAATACTATCTTTTTTATATATAATTCCACATGTAAATATTCTTATAACATTTACTTGCTTAGTCCTACATATAAAATTGTTTACTTTTATTTATAAGTACGTGAAAATAATTGTTAAAGTGTGGGGTTAGGATAACATCAAACGCATGTTTTACAAACGCTTTTTTTAGTTATTATTTTATTTGGGTAAATTTAAATGGTAACAATGAATAAACAAAACATCAAGGATTTTATTTTTGTGTTTACTTTTGTTCTACACGTTTTACTTTTAAAGATTTCAGTACCTAAACACGCCAGAAATTTCAGTATTTCTCGGCCAAGAATATGGCCACCTTATGCTTTATTTTAGCACGCATTTTTAATAAGCCAACTCTGTGTTTTCGCTTTCATTTTCAAGGGTAGCGACACCTGTGACAAAGTATACAAACTAATTATAGCTACAAATTCTTGTTTGAGATAGAAAATCACTACAATTCTGGTTTAAGTATAGAATAAACATGGAGTCCTGTATAAAATGTTGTCATCTTACTTGAGGACACAAATTATAGAATTGTTAATAAATATTAATCTGAAAATTAAATACAAATGATCCTAAGTGTCCGTTTTAGTGAGTGAAGTAGTTTGGTTATTGTGCCTGACTTAGTTCCGTCGTAAATGCAATATATTGTCAGACTAACAGTATGGTTAAAATTGAGGTACTTTGGGATTTATTTAAATTATTCTTCTGTTCTCATGAGCATTGAAATTTATTTCACTCACTAGCGGGAACCATTGCGAATACATTGATATATAATAATATTCAATTATGTTAGTTTCTTCGACGATTTGTGTCCTCATCTGAAGCTCTGTTACATGGTAAAAATATACATACTAAATCGCCCCCTTAAGCAATCATTATCTACAGGCATACTATTGGCCATTAGTTTTGTAAACTAGGCTTCGATATGGGTTCGTAGGCTGAAGGTTTCCTCCATAGAGGGCCTATATACTAAGAGCTCGATTCTTGACGGTGAGAGAATAGAATGCTCCCTGGGGAACGTACCCTCATTTCGCTCTACTACTGTACTATCACAAAATTCATACTGTATTCTCGACACAAGGGGATTGAGCCATGAAAGTGAAGAACGAGGAACAATGTTGTCAAATGTACCGACCAATCAGAAAGCAGTAAATAGGTGGTAGAATGAAAACTAGTGATGTCATGAAATAAGTGCTACTTTATTTAGTTATTGTTTTTTGTCTGTCAGTGTCAGGTGCAGTCTAAAGAGGAAAGAAAAGAGAAATTAATAATAAAACCGAAGCTAAATCCAATAAGTTTTAAACAAAAAGAACTTCTGATAGAATATATTGAGGGTAAAAACAAATATATACTGGAAAGTTAACACCCAGCTACACTAAGGAGAAAATGACGGCTAACTAGGAAGAACTTACAAATATTTTAATACTATATTAGGCAGATCCATTTTATTCTATTATTATTTTATTTGTGTACTGTACAATCCTTCAAGTAAACACAAATTATACGAACGTTTCCTCAAAGTTCTCGAATGATATCACCACAAAACAATAACTAGAAATATTACAGACAGATTGCAAAATTCGTAATTTGTGAAATATGTTAAAAAAATATAGGGTTAGGTTTAATAGTCCCTGCCTGTTCCCCCGAAAATATCAGTATAAGAAATAGGGAACAATTCTTCTATCATTACTCAATAGAACATCATTCAAGAATACCGATTAATGAGTTTTAGTAGAGACATACCCCCCTTTCTCTCGTTTCTTCTACTCTCTATAATTCAAGAATAAAGTCCTAAGTTGTTGGCTGTTGTTAGTATTGCTAACTTAATACAAAATAAGACATGAAAAAATGACCAAATGAAATGAAAGTTGCTAATTCTGAAACTTGACAGTAAATATGTCATCATTCCAACACTATTATTATTATATGGAATTCCAACTATAAATAAATGATTTAGTGACTTTATTTTTTAAGTAGGTATTTTATATATACATCAGATTGACCTATTGACAGCGACATTCACCTGATAAGTACCTACCTAATATTAATGTATTAGTTGACACAATTTCTTTTTTGATTATGCATAAAAGTAAGTCCAAGTATTTGATTTATTTAAGATAGATCCAGTAATATTTTTTCATCCATGAATCAAGAAGATCCAAAATGTAGATATGTATATTATAAAATATTTCCAGTCAAAACATTTTATAGATTTATGATATTTATAACACCAAAAGTAAACAAAATAATGTGTCTTACTTTTGATCTAGTTTTGTACTGGAAATTGAATGAAATATAACTTAAAAATGCACACCCACATTTTGATGGAAATATTTATATTTTTATTCATGGCAGATTATACATATATTCATAAATAAAATCGATTACACTTTGAAATTAAGTTTATCTATAGTTAATTATATTCATTTCTTTTGTTAGATAAATAATCTGTATCATGGAAATAATTGATTTTTTCCTAAACCCAAATTAAATTATGGGATAAATTTTGTCCTGTTGTACAAATCTTCATTTTTCAACTAGTTTTAACTTATTAAATTATTATCAGGGAATACTAACATATATACAGGTATATGTATAATAACCTTAGCATATATTACAAAATTGCAATCAGTAAATTTAAGAGATTATTAGAAATATTAAAAAAATAAATAGGTGTGTAAATTAGAAACGATATTACATAATATAAAATACTGGTATATGAAATCAATTAAATGTACTCCAAGTCACATAGAAGAGAATGATGACTATGTTTAACTATTTGATTTTTGTAAATTAATAATACTCTCATCCTGAATAAATAATAATCACTCTCTGTCTGTTATTCTAATGTCAATTATTTTTTTAATTTGCAATTTGTAATTCAGTATTATGTGTTGAGGTTTATTATACAAGATGGTCCTAAATTATCTCCTAAATTAAAATACAAGTTATTCGTTGTTTAACTTTAGACTTGGGGCATCCAGACTCTTAATTTACTCAGTTTAATTCATATCTGACACATTGGGTAAGGGGTCATTTTAATGGGTAGTAATGGTACTTTTTTATTTTTACTCCATTTAATTTTTTTTAACAATATTGCTGTCTAGATGATTAGAGTAAAAAATTATTCTCGTTTAATCTTGATTTGACAATTCAAACCATTTTTGAGATATTCAGATTTACATATGAGGGTGCATTGTAAAATTTCATAATATCGATTGCATATGCTTTGAACTATCACAAAATTTGAACAACTTGCATAAAAAATTATTCTCATTTAATCTTGATTTGACAATTCAAACCATTTTTGAGATATTCAGATTTACATATGAGGGTGCATTTGTAAAATTTCATAATATCGATTGCATATGCTTTGAACTGTCACACAATTTGAACAACTTGCATAAAATAAGTATTTTAGCTGCATTATCGCTTGAAAAACTTATTTTTTGAAGGAAATAGAACCTTCAGGACTCTCATAAAAATATACTAGAAATGATATCATCGTTGTGCCCTCAAAAACATATGTATATTTTACCAAATTATTCAGTGGAGTTAAAAAACTGTTTCTTGGCCTTTTCTATTTAAGAATTACAACAATTTATTTTTAATTTTACTGCAGACAGTCACAATTCTGTAGAAAATAAGATGGCTCTTTTTAATCACATTATGTGATTTTATGTTTATCGAATTGTGACCTTTAACGCATTTTGCTGCTATCGCATTTTGAAGGTGCAATGACGAAATATATCATTTAGTGCAAATAATACATTTTTTAAATGATAACCAAAATTTTTGTTGCATGGAAATTGTTATTTGTATTCCTCAAAAACAGTGCAGTTTATCTAATTTAAACAAGAAATAAAGACGAATTACCCCCATGAAACTGCCATTTCCAAAAGATACGAGATTTGAATATTACTCGTAGTTCATACAGTAGTGCCCTGATGTCTTAAGTGTAAATTTAAATTATAAGATACCTACTTCTACACACCTTTAAGATATCATCCGAAACATGAAAGACAATTTTTTTTAATAGATAATTCGTTGTGAAAATATTGAGAAAGAATATTAGAACCACACCATATACTTCACTTTTCCCTTAATAAACTGAAACTAAGTGGATATAATTTTTGTACTGAAATATAAGGATTGTAATTTATCTTCTCATAATTTAATCAACATTTAGTACTGTACTGAATGTTTGACAAGTTGAATCCTAGTTGTTTCTTAACTTTATTACTTATATTTAGGACACGATCAAGAACTGAATCATACGGCAACTCATCCGACTCAAAAATTAGCAGTTACCTCGTCAAGAGATACGACATTCCGATTATGGGATTTTAGGGAAGTTGTTCATTCAGTTTCAGTATTTCAAGGCCATGCAGAGTAAGTACAAGCAATGTTTTAATGAAAATTATTTCATTTCAGTTTATTTTTGTCTCAGCTCATTCAGTATTCCCTATTTTTCAAACTATATTTATTGTTTTAAAATTGGTATAAATTTAGTCCATAATTGTTCTCTCTAATTATTATCCTGAGAATAGTGTAATTTTTGGGACATTATATATCATAAGGGGCCACATTGTAATAATATTTTCTACTATACAGGGTGTTCCGAAATTCATGTAACAAAATTTGGTCATAGATTCGTAAGACAAATTTAAGGGACCCGTATTTTTTCTTTTTGCCAACTGGCCCCCTCTTCTGGAGTTTCAGCCCCCTGAAATCTACCCCTAAGAAGTCTTTTTTATATCTCGAAACCATGTTGTACGAGAGAAATTTGATACACAGGGGTTTGGAACCAGAAAAATTTGGTCGCAAATTTGATTTTTATTTAAATTATTAGTTAGCTAGAAAGCCATTGAATTTAGAAACTTTTTTGTCTCTTGATATTTGTTTCGTAAAACAATGTTTTTGAGGAAAATTATAAATCACAATTTGCATTCAATCACATTTTGAAATTTTTCTCGAAAACATTGCGTTTTACGAAAAAAGTATAGAGACAATAAGTTTCTAAATTTAATGGCTTGTGACCAAATTTTTTTGGCTTTAAAGACGAGGGGGCCCACGAAAAATTGTCTTAAGGAGGTTCCCCGCCAAAAAACCTAGCACCACAGATTCCACATGTCATAAAACCTCTGTGTACTAAATTTAGTGATTCTCGTACAACAGAGTTCTGACATATAAAAAAAAAAGATTATTCTTAGGGGCGGACTTCAGGGGGCTGTAACTCCAGAAGAGGGGGCCACTTGGCAAAAAAAAAAATGGGGGTCCTCTAAATTTGTTTTAAGAATCTTGATCAAATTTTGTTGCATGAATTTCGGGACACCTTGTACAGTAGTGGCTCATGAAAAATAAAGAGATTGGTCTTTTATAAAAAATAGGGCCCATATCATTTTTTAATGAATATTTGTAGGCATACAAGGAGCTCTTTCATTGCTAAAGATTGAACAAAATATGTGAAATAAAAAGATAAAATAGACAACCCTGCGATTTAAAAAAATGGTTGTGCATATTTACAAAATTTTTGTTTCGAAATCAACTTTTACATATAATATTTTTTTATTTGTTATTTTTCTATTTTTTGTTATGCTTTTCTCACAAAAGATATCAGTTATACCATTTATAAAAAATTTCAAGGTTTGAAAATAGCAAATTACTGCAATTCTCTTATTCTTGTTGTAAAGAAAATTTTGCATATATCGACGCTTTAGTACGAAAACATGCTATCTCAGATTTCGGTTGGAAAACATGCTATCTCAAATTTCGGTTGGAAAACATGCTATCTCAAAATAAGTTTGGAAAACATGCTAGCTCTGAACTTTAAGTAAAAACATGCTATCTCAGTTTGACTAGAAATTTAAGTTGACACATTGAATGATTGAACCATGCATTTTTCATAAACTTATATAGTATATTTTTCAAAAAGTAAAGAATATTTATGTTCAGGTAGGTACACTGTTTATTTAATTTTTTTTTATTTAACATTTTTCAATTAATTTTGTTAAGTTAATGTTATAAACGACAAAATTGTTAATTAAAAAAATAGAATAATATGCAGTATGCTGCAACACGTGCATTACTCGACGTTTTTTGAAATTACAAATTATAAAACAATAGTGTATACCTTAATATACTACCCTATCACCTGGTGTATTTATTGCCCAGAAACGGGTATTGAGATGTATTGCAGGTATTCCAAGTTATCACACGTGCAAAGCTTTGTTTAGGGAATTTGGTGTGTTAACTCTTACAGGATTATTAATGTTTGAACTGTGTATTTGTATTTTTAAAAATCGAGCAACATTCAAAATTAATAGGGACATTCACTCAATTAATACACGTCAAAATGGTGACTTCCGGATGCCCCTATATAAATTTAATATATCACGAAATTCTCCTAACTATCTTGGTTTGAAGCTTTTCAATCATCTGCCAGAAGAACTAAAGCGAATCCAGTTTTTTAAAAGTTTTGAATGTAAATTAAAGTTATTTTTAGTGGACAGATGTATTTATTCTGTAGATGAATTTCTGTCATCTTAGGTTAAGTAACATTGACTATTCCTATATATGTGTACACATGTCTTAAAGGAAAATAAATGCATTATTATTATTATTATTATTATTATTATTACATCTAATGACGTTGACCGTGCCACCCCCTGACCCCAGACAGCCTAACTTCATCTGAAACTGTGAGCACTGTCAACAATTAGACACACCCTCTTTCAAGAAACATAAATCTCAGGTAGTAAATGTCAATCTTTCACATTTAATTTTAACACTTTTGCAGTTTACAGAAAATATCCACATTTTATTTCAATATGCGTATTATTGTGTGATATTTTAAAACTTAAAATATATAAGATTTATATCATTCCCAGCCTACATAGTTATTCTATCTACACTTTTCGCATAACATTACATTTTGGAGAAAATTGTGCATGAACACGTTAGTAATAACTGATTTGCTGTTTTACTTTCACAAGAAACTGCATTATTTTAAGGTATTTGATATATACAGTGCTATTTTTTTAAAACCTGACATAGGCCAACTTTTTTATTTAAAGTAATATACTAGTACTTCCAAATGCAAAGTTGTAGGAAATAACTTGATTAAGAAAAATTTACAAATAATTCTTTCCAGATTTCTGCAGCAGCTACTAATACTTTTTTTAAATGGCAACACCGTATTTTTTTAACATAATTTGACAAACCTTCAAATTCTAAATAGAAAATGTTATGTCACATTTCTTTATTGGAGTAGCTCTTTTAAAACAATCAGCAAAAACAACAAAAATAATCTGTAGTCGTCAGGAACTAAAAGAAGTTAACATGGCTGAAAATTAGTGATGTAAAATAGCATGCTATTTAGTTTTGGGTGAAATATATCAAAATATATATCATTATATATATCAGATGAATTTTGTTAAAAAAAAACTATACTCAAATTAGTTTTTTCATATTGCTAATGCCTTGCTGATTAATTTGACACCAAATACATGTCATATATATGAACTTTTAGAAAAGTTATCAAGTGATCTTTATTTTTTTTCATATTTAGATTGGAATTTTTTATTTTTTTTATCATAATGACTTCTAATTTTTGTTGCGTACTACTGACTGTTTATAAGCAAGTACGCTGTTTATTAGCAATTTAGTTTTATCAACCCAGAAATAAAAAATGGGAAATTTCTAGAACAAGAAAATTTAGTCTTTGTATATCACAATACGTACTTAAAAAAAATTAAAGATAAAAATTGAAATAAAAATTATCAAAAACTTATGATAATAAAGAAACTGCTTTAAAGTAGTACTTAAAAATCTGAAA